ACCTTAGAAAAAGATGCACATGCAAAGCAAAACCGCTTCAAATCCACGAGGATGGCTAGAATCAAAAAGCAGATCACAACAAATGTTGGTCAAGATTTGGAGAATTCAGAGCCCTCCTACATTGCTGGTGGGAATGGAAGAAAGGTATAGCCACTTGCCAAACAGTCTGGGAGCTCCTCTAATCATTAAATACAGTTACCATATGACCCAGCAATTCCATTCCTAGCTATATACCAAGGGAAGTGAAAGCATTATGCCCACACTAAACGTATGCACAAGTGCTTATAGCAGCATTATTCATAACGGCCAAAAAGGGGAAACAACTCAAATGTTCAACAAAGGAATGGACGCTAAAATACCAACCCTCCACACAATGCAATAGCATTGGCCCCTCCTCTATTCTGCGTAGTTTCTCACTTCAGCGCCTCTGCTCACATGGCTCTCTTTGCTGGCCGTGCTTATAACGTGGAGGCTAAAACCAGCTTTGGCACCGACTAGGCCTGACTTCAAATCCTTGCTGTCACTTGCTCATGGCAGAAGAGCACTTCATCTCTTTGAACCCCATTTTTTTTTTCCGCTATAAAATGAGGATAACAATGGCACCGGCTTCAGGGCTGTTGTGAAGATGAAATGATTGTAAAAAGCAAACATAAGTGGTTTCTTGGATTATCTATTTTGCTTCCACTGCCGAGGCCCAGAGAAGCCCGCCTGAACTCCATTTCCGCAGGACCCTGTGCCAGGCTTTGCACTTGGCGGTGCACTGACCGCTGGGGCCTTCGGACAGTTTCTCTGACCTGTGTGACCGATGTCCCCCAGGTCTGGGATCCATTCGGATTCGGCAGCCCCTCGAGTCCACCTGGATAGGCCCACTGCGGGGCCAGGGTCCAGGACAGAGTCGGAGGAGGTGGGAACATAGCGGGGCCTTGAATTGAACAAGTGCGGGTGCTCTCCCGCACGAGACCAGCCCGCTGCTCCTCCCGGGCTTCCCAGGCCGAGGCCTGGCTGGAGCAGTGGTCCCTGTGGCTGCTCCCCGCAGGGCGCCCAGGGGGCGGGG